TAACAAATTGCTCCCAACGGAAGCACTTATACAACTGTTGTTTAGTAACTGTTAAAGGCTGTACATATGCTAAATATGTTGGTAAACAACTTCACCATAACCTAACTTTCTGCTGTCATATTTTTGTAAAATGCCATAATCAATGTTTTAAGACAAACAACTCATGCATATTGGTTCAAAAGGTTTTATTAACTGTTCAAACAGAAGATATAGATCTGGTACAAATTCTGGGTAAATCATTCGACTCTGTCGGTATTTCATTTCAGACATTTGTCAAATTGTTGTATAACCCCTGCAGGCAACACCAAAATATTCTAATAACCTAAAGACAACATGGACGATGCCATGATTGTACACAACCACCCGCCATATTGGGCAAACATTTATTCCTCTATTTAATATTAAATAATTATGTTTCAGTTCGAAATTACAGATATAAACACATTAGTGTATTTGTGTCTCAATATAGGATTTGTGGAAGATTTAACGCAGATAGGTGCAGTTTTCCATCTTAAAAATCTAGACATACTTTTGATCATTGTCAAAATATGAATCAAATACGGAGCCCGTAGAAATTGGGTAACTAATTTGCACGTTAATCACAATAAAATTTGCTGCGCAAGTAATTCAATAGCCCTATATCACAGTGTAGAAGTTTATCATATACCTGTGTATGAAATTCACAATGGCCGATATGTAGATAAACAAGATGACTGTAATGTGTCAGTTATATATTCTTCACTTCGTCTATACAATACATAAGAAATAGTTTGGTTGCAATAAAGTAGAATCACGTAACAGAATAGTTGTATAGTCGACAAAAACTGAATCTTGCACTGACGCAAATGTCCTATAGCGGCTGCAAGAGGCTTACACTTTTGTTTTATAACTGTAACCTGCAGCCCTTATTTAACCTCTTAAATGACTGAAGTGTCCTATTAGGTGTGCCCATTCCGCTTGTATAGCTGTTCTAAGAGGGTTTTGCCAATGTTCTTACAGTCAATGCTGTTTAAGGAATACTGTATAATCATTCTGGCAACTCTAATAGGAGTGATAATTGTTAGTTGGGAATACTACTGCGACAATTTTTACAATAATGATGTATCTTCACCATGTAGAGTTTTACAAAGTAGCTCATGTTTTCAATACATGTATACCAATAGGCTATAAGGTACTTGAATGCAGATGCAAGTAATAGGCGGTGCAGATGACGTTACTGCTAATGGTATGAATCCTTGTAATTTGAATGTATTACTCGAACGCGTGGTACCAGTTCAGACTGCCTAGTGCGTTAGTAGACAATCAATAGCTTCTCTCACTTCATCAGATCCCATTCTAAGGGACGCATCTTCTTCAAATTCCGCTCTATAATGCCACCACGTTATAAACCTGCCAGACGCACTACACGAACTAGAATATCAACTACAGCTTAGACAGATCCAAAATCAGATCAACGATGTCTTCTAATCGCAATACAGTAAACAGGACAATTTAAACCTTACAAACTTTAGGACCTGCTTTAAACCAGACCTATTGTACTTTCGATAACACGACCATCGTACGACTTTAAGAACTCCGTTCCAGCTCGGCCAAGAAGACAATAATAATTAACGTTAACACTATAAAAAGCGAGTTTTTTATGTAGTCCGTCGCTCGTATTTTATTCAATCTCGAATAATTTAAAAGCTATGAAACCGCCGTTATCCGTTATCCAAATCTACTTTTCTTAACATTCCCCAAATTAATTCAGCTGGGCGTGGATATGATGCTTCCATTTAGGAACTGGTTCTTCTCCATCCGTTAATCACTTCCTTGTTTCGATCATATCAATTATTCGTAATGATTTCGATAGTTTATGTGAGAACATAAAGCTGGGCTGCTGATAGTGTATTGGTTGGATAGAGAAGTGACATCGATATTTATGAGCTATTTTATGCATACTAAATGTTCCTAAAAAACCTGTATTCTGTTTCGTGAAAGGCCGTAAAGTGTTAAAAGTACAAGAGATAGAAGTGAATAACTAAATAAAATAAGAAATTCTGTACTACTTGCGTTGGTATGTTCATATTTAATATATTTTTAAAAAGTTATATTGTCTCGTATTAAATTTAATACATCAAAAACATTACGAGATCCCATACTTATACCAGACCTTGATCAAGCCACATTTAGCCTAAGCTATATTGACATTTGGAGCTACATGCTCCACTCGTATTTATGATTTGAATATTTTTCAAAAAGTGATTTTTAAAACACTGTTCAACAAACCAAAATTATATCCAACTGATATCTTATACGAAGATATGTACACGTTTGTGATAAAACAACTTCATCTACTACATGCCACCAACTATCACAAATTTATTAATAACGTCTGAGAAATTAAATACAATCACCATATAAAGCGTAAACTAAGGGGAGCAGTTGTACCCAGATTAAATAAATCTATAGCTCAACGATCATACCTTTATTTAGAAGCAAGTTTATAGGTAAGTTTAGCTGACGATATAAAGAGCCTACGCTTTGGGAATAATTTCAACAAAACATTAGAGGAATGGTTTTTTCTCTGTTAAGACCAGACGTACACTAATTAATAGTAAATGTAAACATCAAATAGTTCATTGACTAGTTGTAACTATATCCATATTTTAATACTATACACCTGTGCACCCTTGCTTCATATTAATTTACTCATTCTCTATATTGTGTTTTAGAAGTAAATAAATAGTATTATTATGCTATCATTCGTTCATACAATATAGTAACTTAATTGTTGTGTTGTTTAGTTGCTAAAGAGGTTATGTCATTTTGAGATTCTATGTTCATTCTGTAAAGTTTCTATGTTCGCAATTCCTTCAATCCTTTGTGTTCAAGCTTCACCTAAATGAAAATATTGTGTTTTTGAATATTTTGAAACGAATGCCTCAGTTCAAAAAATACGTTTCGGAAACATAAATCGCGTTTTTCTCACTTCATAATAGTTACCTTCGATATAACGGCAGTACCTTCTTCAGTCGGTATGATCCTTTGCACCTTCTCAAGCTTCATTGAGATGCAGCTCAAAGACTAATGTTCCTCGCCTATAAACTTTAACGGACAGTGATAGAGATAGGTTTAGCAGAAGCCAAACATGATCAAGAGATTCCAGTTAAACATTTTCTATACTAAGTGACATAAAAATCCGAACACCCAGTTTAAATGGTTTTATTTTAATAAAATTTTGTATAAGTACTTAATGAAGCATAATAAGTAAATGATAAAAATTTCAAAATGATTGCACTGCTTTAAAGCCCTTTGACCTTTAATAATGTGTGGATGCACCCTGATGTGCTACGCATTCTCCAACGCGCCTAGGCATGCTTCTGATCAGGTGGTCAATGTCCTCCTGTGGTATCTCATTACAGGCAACCACCAACTCCTCTCGAAGTGCTTCTAGAGTCTGAGGAGGACGTTGCAAATTGAGCAATCTCCTACCCATCATATACCACACGTGCTCAATTGGGGATAAGTCGGGAGATCTTGGTGGCCATGGTAACAATGTGACATCATTATGTTGAAAGAAGTCTATTGTGACTCTTGCAACATGTGGTCGGGCATTATCTTGTTGGAAAGTTGGATCTGCCAGGGTGTCAAGATAGGGTAAAAGATGGGGTTCTAGAACTTCGTGGATATAACGCTGCGCGATCATGTTACCACTGATGAAGATTAAAGGTGACCTGGAACCATAAGCTATAGCACCCCAAACCATAACTCCAACAGTGTGATGAACATGTCTTTCAACAAAGAACTGTGGATTCCTCCTTTCACCACGTCGCCTTCTAACCCTGGCACGACCATCGTGCATGCCTAAACAAAAGCGAGACTCGTCACTAAAGACCAGACTGTTCCATTCCTGATCCCATAGTGACCGTTGTCTGCGCCACTCAAGGCGATTACGTCGGTGTTCTCGAGTTAAAGGGAGGACCCAGTGTGGCCGGTATGAAAACAAGCCAAAACTTCTCATTCGTCGGTAAACACTTTGCATTCGAATAGGTCTTCCGTGTTCTGCAAACCATTCATTTGCAATGGACCTGGTAGTGGAGAAACGGTCCCTTAAGGCCAATAATCTTAGGCGGCGATCTTCACGGTCTGTTGTTCTACGGCGGCGTCCAGTGCCCCTTGCTCTTTGCGTACGGCCTTCTCGAAGCCATGCCTGACAACACCTAACCACAGTGTCTACACTTCTTTGCACTCTAACTGCAATTGCCCGAAAAGAAAGTCCAGCTTCCCAAAGTCCCACTATACGGCCCCTATCAAACTCACTAAGTTGACGAAATCGTAACCGATCGTAAAGGATGTCAAGAACCAAAGTCCGCCAACGTTGATTCTTTACTGCGGCTGAAATATTCATGTTTAGAGCGTTAGTGAATTAAAAAAAAGCAGTATAAAAACCGGAATGTCCAACTGATAAGGCTGAAAATTTTGTCACTTCTTATTTACAGTACGATAAATACATTCACCAACTTTTATTAAAATAAAACCATTTAAACTGGGTGTTCGGATTTATATGTCACTTAGTACTTGTATATCTTGGTAGCGTGTGAGAATTAACCAAAATAACTTATTTTTCTATCAAATTTAATTTGACATTATCTATTTCAGGTAAGTTACGAGGCGTACATATACAGTGAGATGCAGAGGTGGTAAGTTACTGTGCTTTATACTTCTTAAAAACCTCACTTCTTTAATCACACCTTTATGAGTCTAGCTTTGCATCAGGCTTTCAACTTGACGTTTACTAACGTGGTAGTTTTTGCGAAAAATAAAACTGGCAGATGAGACATTAGACTTGCATACTGGAAATATTATAAAAAGCTTTGCCATTCTTGAAGAACCAGGTAAGACTATTGTTGCATGATCAAAGTACCTAGTGAACAAATAATGATTTAATAACAAATAATTGTTTCGTGAACAGGTTATTTTCATATATTTCAGTCCACTTCTTTTGGTTGAGTGTAATTAATCTCTATAAACTCGGATCTGCCTCAAGTATCCTAAAAGTATCCTGAAATGAACAATACAAACGATTTCAACTGATGTTGTTTCAGTCTTTTGTAAGTTTTACCAGTGTAATAAAGCGTACGATCCAGCAGAGATTGCACCGAAAGGTTTTTGGTTATGCTCGCTCCTCTCTAGGTACTGTTTGGGTACTGCGTGGTATTGCAAGAAATAAATACTCGTATACCTAACAGAAAAAACAGAAAATTTCAAGAATATACGTTTGCATGTCTATTTCATACTCTACCAATCGACATCGGAATGGCACAAGCCACTTATAATATCTAGTTAATGAAATTCTTCCATATCTTTTTAAATTATCCACTTTCCTCACCTGTCGGTACCTTTTCACGGCTAGTTGAGTCGCTAATTGGGGGCACAGGTTAAACGCCCTCGTTCACAATTTATTCTTCTTCCTGACATTAAATGGTCGTATGTAACTGAAACGAGCGTGCATCGATTTTATGGAAGCGTTCTATGTGCTTAACATCTACCTAAACTCTGCGACAAGAGTTTGTGAACGGCTGAAGTTCGTCTCAAAAAAAGCTTGATATAGGACTCCGTCCAAATTTCTTGTTATATAACTTAACTACGAGTATATCTTGACTTTCGGATGCCCAAGTAATCATAAAACATAAAAGTATCCTTCCACCACTTACGTGCTAGGATGCAACGACTGTAACCGACTCAGGGCTTAGGCAGAGGTGCTTCCCTATACTACACGAGATCAACATTCAGGCATAAGACCGTAAGACGGATGCTCTTGTCGCTCAACATCAACAAAGCTTCTGGTCCGGACTTCCTATGGTTGTACTGGAGAGACGTGCAGCAGAGCTTACTCCAATTCTTTCGCATCTCTTCTAGACATATTGCGGATGCGGCACTGATCACAGAAAACTCAAAAAAAGAGTCCCATATGTAGATTGTCATTCACTCTTCTCAGAGCATAAAATATGTTTATAGTGTTATTCAAGCTTTGTCTCTCCATATATTTGCTTTTTTTGTAAAAAAGTGAAAACCTACTGGAGAAGTCGTAAAAGTCAGAGGTATGGAGAATATTTTCGTTTTGAGTCGAACTATTCCCTGGCTAGATTAGACCGAGAAATGGTTTGTGCTTATGTTACCTATCTCTGCTCAATACCAATTCCTAACGTCCTCTATCCCTGCAAGGGGGATATTCGGACTTATACCTCTAGTAACTACATATTATTTTATACCATTTTCTCAACACTATTTCGACGAAGAGTGTACAAAATAGACACAAATGCTTTTCCTACCTACGGCGCTATTCGTCTCGTATGTCCGGAGAATCTTCAATGATATGTAATTGCAACAAGATATTTATTACTAATTAACATATTTTGTAAGAGAAATTATCTACGGGGCATCTTAATGCGGGATGAATATAGTGACGATTTATTTCTACGAACGTACTGGTAGGTATCCTTAATAAAATTTAAATGGTGATGAGGTGCCTTTCCTTTTGCTGTGCCTGGTAGACGATTATTATTTGCGGAGATTAAGTGTGTACATTAGGCAAATGATACGCCTTGATGTGAGATAGAAGATAACGATTAAGCAGGTAACGCTACACTTGTATGTTAGAAGATTAAAAATCAAGCTTGCAATTGGAAGTCAATATCGTTGAGCTTTTATAAAATAAAGGATAAAGTTGTGGCTCATGCAACGACTACGGTTGAAGACTGAGCTCAAAATGGGTTTAGCTTGGGCTACCAAAAAATAAACATCAGCAACAACAACTGATAAAAGATATTCAAATGAGTAAAAACTTTAAAAATAATAACAGAAACACAAGAAACTGATTATCTAACTCAGTATTAGGTAGATGTCCCAATAACTACTTTTAGTTATAGAGACGACGGCTTTCGCTAAACTGATGACATTCATAGAATTAGAGATAGAGAGAAGTTAACCCCAAATAATCAGGAAATGTGGCTAAACTTTCACCTCTCATTTTTTATGCCACTAAATTCTGTTGTTCTCTTTTTTCGTGTTATTTGTTTCTTACACCTCCTACTGCTGAAAGTAGCTCAAACCCTGACGTCATTGGATAGTAGAAAAACGATCTCATAAATGCCCATATAAAAGCATTTATAAACCCTATTTTATCCGACACCCCTTCAAACTTCAAACTGCCCTTTGTATGAGTGCAGCAGGTACATAACATCGCGACGTTTTTTCTACGGATACATGCCAGTTTTTTTGTTAGAAAATCATCTAGTATTCACCCTCCACTTACAAACAAACCGAAAGCCTTAGGGTAAGAGGCAATGCAGTAGAGCTAGGGAACGCAGATTGCCACAATTTATGTCGAATCCTCGCGTTAATCTTTTGTCCACCATTGAAAATAAAATTAACAATCATGTTTGTTTTCAATAAACGAAAAACATTAGAAATTTTGAAACTGATTGTCGTCAAGGGCAGACAGAGTCTTCGTATTAGCTCGGACATAGAAGTTTTGCAGAGCTCAGTGTCGCCACTACATGCAAGGATCCTTAGGCGACTCTAAGACGAAAGAGTAGTTATACAGAGATAACAGATGGACAAAGAGAATAAAATTAGAGAGAGATAAAAGATGACTCCAAAAACATGGCCTCCACAAAACAGCTGATGGCGCCTAAACAGGTGCTGCCTTTTTTTTGTCGGAGATAAATACGGTATTTCCAAGTAGAAAACCCCGGCGAAATAATTGATTACCACCTGCAGCAAACGTACTTTTTTTTCAAATTCACTTTTTTGATGCATTCATTTATGGTGGGGATTTGTATCATCCGGTTTCACCCTAAGAAATATATGTTGCATTCAATAAAGTGATAAATGACATTTTTTGCGAAAGAGGGTACTCTTAAAGCCTGTAAGTTGTCACATAGCTATTTGACCTTTAGGGCCCTGAGCGAAATATTGCACCACTTGCTGTAGTAACAAAAAAGGCATGACAGTTTGAAAGTCAAAAGTTTTCTAACCTCAAATTTCTCATTCGGTGGTTGTCATCTAGACACGCTGGCCTTAAGACAGTATGTCCACATAACACCTACTTTATAAAAGAAAGTTAAATGAGTGACTTTAAAGGTATGTCTGGTAGGAAACCATATATTCTTATATAGTTAGTACGGAGTACAACCACAGAGTGGCGCTCATCCTGTATTTTCCCGTCGTTCTTTTTGACAGACAAATGTTCAATGCTTTGACGTTGACGACTTCGTAATGTTGAATTGAAAGTTGAACTTTGTGCGGCGCCGGCATTTTTATTAGTTTTGTGTCTGTAATACTGATATCTATTGAGCGTTAAACTGAATTTAAATTTACAGGCGTAATCTTTGTAGTGGAGGCTTATAGGAAGCGGGGAGTTAAAAAGTGCGTGGTGCCTGGTTTTACTGATGCAATAAGTAAAATGCACACAGTTCCAAAATATGATGCCGCTCTTTTGAACAAACAGATCGAGCAAGTGTGAAATCCAGTTTTGGACAGTAAAAGTCACGAACAAATTTATAAAAGCCATTTGATGTGTGACATTTTTCGGAAAATGATAAAGTACCTGGAACCAAGAGAGGTCAGCTTTTCCTAAATTACGTCTTCCTGAACTTCAATCTTCAAGTAAGTAATACATATTATATAAACCAGGTACATGCACTGTGTATTCAGTCAATAATCAGGATTAAATGATTCGAACATTTTGGTGTTCTAAAAACTTTCACAGTATTTACGGTTTCCACATTTATCGGAAAAATTCACCTAGCATAATAATAAAATAATGAAATTCAATTCTTTTTTAGGTATGGTTTCGGAAAATGTTCAGAGTAGTCCCGAATGTCATGAAGGGGGTAGAGAAATTGCTAATTGTAAATTTAATGGCTCATTTGTTCTCAAGATTTTTATTTTATATTTTACACAGGTACCACCACGTGCAGAAGACACATGGACATCGCATATCTCCTCAACTATCGATGACCTTATACAGAGATAACAAGGGACTGTCACACTGTTAAGAGATCTTTGGCAATGCATGCCTGATAACATATTAGTTTTTTATGCACGCGATGGTATATCGGTAATACCGTTTATTTATAGATTACTAACAACTGTTATTTTTGTGTATTGTCTTAAAAAAAATAAACATTTTAAAAATAAAATCAGGTTGAGCCTTATTTTACTTTAATTCAAATTTAGCTCTACAGTGTAAGAGGGAAGTCCAAAGATGGCGCTAGGTATTCTATATTGTTAAAGGGTTCTATAACAGTTCGTACAGGTTCTATAGAAAGTTCAGAGTATATCCCAGGTATGGCGCTACAAACCTCGTGACAAACCGTAGCATTATAGATTCTCTTATAAAGTAGGTGTTGTGTAAATATGTCGTATGGCTTTTTAACGTAACCACCAAAAACCGTGAAAAGGACTAAGCTCCATTAAGCTCAAAGTAAATGTAGCATTTTCTTAACATTGTATGGCAGTTTTACACCTCCTCGGTACATGCAGAGTCATCTATAGGCGAGTTAAGTTTTGGTTACATCGCATACAGATATGCAATGTTAAAAACTGGTCAACCCTAATGAATGTTGATGGTAAACATGAAACTCGGGAAGTACGACTCTCCTACTATAATGCAGAAGCGCCCAAGGTCAATGAGGCCGACCGGGAATTATAAAGACATTCCACGAAGTGCGTCCTTTTATTATAACTACTCTTTCCTAGGGCTTTCCGGGTAACTATGTGACTACAAACAAAGATTACCTAACCTACTTTTTGGGACAAATATTGCATCCTGTTCGATGGAACGAAGTCGGGAACGGCCCCAAAATAGATTCTCATGCATGTAAGCGTGTCGACAAAAAGCTTTGCGCATAGCAAGATTTGGCAACCACGTATGTTAGGGTGGCTTAGCTACACATTTGCAACCACCGGCAAAGCTCAACCTGATTTATTGAAAGCTGGGTCAGTGGTGAAATTCAACACCGTGGAACATGTGTGTGCGTGTGTGGGAAGGTTATA